TGGTATGGATTGTGGTAGTATCTGGGCGTGGAATCAGATGATGGTTAGAAATGGGATGTGCAGTAGGTGGAATGCGGCTCAGGCGTTTGGGTTCCTGAGCGCGGTGTTTTGGTTCGTGAGTTTTGGTTTGGGGGTGTTGGTCTGGAGGAGGGGTGGGGGCAAGCGGGGAAGTCCGGGTAGAGTGTAGTGAGGTACATCGCGGTTTTGCGATGGAGCAATTGGATTTCTATGCCTCTTGTGAGTTTCGCATCTGCAGCGGAGTTTTTGGAGGTTTGGTCGTTGCATCTTCGTGCGGCTTGGATTCTTGAGGAAGCCGCGGACGGGACCTCGGGACGCGCTGTTACCTTAGACCAGGACTGGTTGGGTAAGGATTATCATCAACTCCTACGAAATTGACGCCCGGTAAACCCCAACATACAAACTCTCGTCGCCGTGCAAGCCCGAGCTCCAAATCTACGCTACATGCATGTCCTGCCGTTCTGACTCTGATTCGCTGCCGGCCATCAGGCGTCCAAGGGGCCCGTAGATCCTGCGAAATTCTCCACCCGTCTAGGCTGCCAGCGTCCCCGTCCGGCAAGTTCTTACTCGGTTCCTTGGAAAGCGGAATTTCGCACGTTTGCCCTAGAGCTAGATCATCAGGCCCCTTGGAAGCCTGGAATGTTGTATATGGCTAATGCACTGCACAGGCAGCATGCTGTCTAGGTCTGGCGCCATCAGATCTAGGTACATGGCGCTCATTGTATAAAGATACTCCATCATCCGCTCTACTTACTCATATCGTCACGGCCGATATTGCATCTTACATCTCGAAATACTTGCATCATGCTATCTCCACTCACTATCGGTCTCGGTTTGCTACCACTGCTCAGCGCAGCGTATCTCGAGGAGCCTCCAACTACCGCGGCTCCAGACACCGTCGCAGACTGCTCATGGTGGCATGTCGCCGCAGAGACCGACACATGCACCAGTATAGGTGAATACTGGGGCCTCACAGATGCGCAGTTGACGGCATATGTACGACGCGAACGCCACAGCACTCTACGCATATACTGACATCTGAAACAGAACCCAAGTCTAGCTGATGGCTGCAAAGTCATCTCGGGTAACTCTTACTGCATCGAAAGAAACTTGGGCAAGCCTGTACCATCATCTGCCACCAGCACTCTTGTGACTGTGACAAGCACCAGCCAGACGCCTACGCCTACTCCCACGACGCCTTTAGAGATCTGTGAGGAAGAAGCCGGTAGTTACGCGAGATACTGCCCACGTTGTCTTTACCGCTGCGAGAACGCGACACAGAACATGGCACAGTGCTTCTACAGTACTTTCTTCACTATCAATGGCGTCCAGAGTCAATGCTGGCAGCATGGAGGCAACGATTGTGCGAACCAGGCGGCGGCCGCTGTGTGCCCAGACCAATAGGCCATGTCGCGGTCAGGCAGTGATCACAAGAGGTGGACTAGACCTTCGACAGACATGGTACTGGGTACATGGGTAAAACCATTGAAGGAGAGAGCTGATGAACGCCAAGGTCAACATATTTACTTCATGAGTTCCACGATCTTGGCCAGATCTATCGGAGATTTGGAGGGTTACCCTGATGGATCTTCTTCGTCATCTTTGTGGGCCGTTGTACAGGCGGCAGGCTATGCACACACAAATATCAGCACAGCGCACGAGTTTCAGCAGACAATATAGATGAAATCCTCGATTTAGCGGCGGTCGAGAACGGATGAGTTGTGCAAACTTGGAAGCCCGTTGCGGTAATGAGTGACACTGACGGCGATGTCATAGCCGCCAAAATTGACGACTTGCCCACCTCTTTGTATTCGCGATCGCAGTTTTAGCCTCTTAGATATAGATGCATCTGATACCGTCAATCAGCGTTGAGGACGTCTGTTAACATGCATTAGTACCGTGACGCAATGGCAAAACACCAGTGCGCCAAGCTGTATATGTTTGTCCACCTATACTCGACACCACCTCGCCTAAACACAATGCTTGCACGTTTGCATCAGCCGGCATGCAAATAAAGATACGCGATGTGCTTCCCCGCAATCGACATACTATCCCCCGATGCACGATCTCGCGTTTGACTCCCGAGGAGCTCATCCGGCACCTGACTAGGGAGCTTAACCACCGGCCAAGACAACGTCGACCCACCACATATTAAGCTGAAGCACACATTCTTAGCTAGCGCACGATCGCATACTAGAAAGAGCATGTGTGACCTTTTCACCCCGGATCCATCTATGACAAAGGCCCAACCAGAGCCTCACCCCCGACGTATTAGGCCCGATAGAATATATCAAGCCCACATCTACTGTTGGTTGGCGCGATGATTTTATCCCTTTGCAATCAAAATGGTTGCAGACGAGAGTGTGCGGTGGGCAGCCAAGAAGTGATGGAGGACGAATGCAAGGGCTGTTTAGTGTATTGGGGACGTCTTAGCACGATAGGGACGTCTTGATACAATGGGGACGTTTTAGTGTAATAGGAACGTTTTTTTGGTATATAAAATGCCTTGAACTTGACTCAGTTACCTACATCGCCATCAGCTCGTTCTGCGTTTTCCTCGATTTTATCGCATTGATCAGCATGAAGTACTCATTCACTCTCGCCGTTGCGGCTTTGTGCGTTGAAAGCAGTGTCGCAACACCGCTCAACCTGGAAGCCAGACAGGTAACCAACACCACTCCTACCCCAAAGACTCCACTGACATCTTCTCAGCAAGGCAGCGGCGCAGGCCCCTACGCTCCAGGAAATTACAAGACGGAAAGCTCTCTCCAAGGCCACACAATCTACTACCCAACCAAGAACACCGGCTCCGAGAAGCTCCCTGTTCTCGTCTGGGGCAACGGTGCATGCAGCACCGACGGCCGCTCCAACTCGGCTCTCTTGCAGAACATCGCCAGTTACGGTTTCCTGGCTATCGCTGAGGGTGGCCCAAACGGCGGCGGTACATCCAATGCTCAGACCATGAGACAGGCCATTGACTGGGTCACCCAGAACGCCGGCAAAGGGAACTATGCCAACGTCGATGCGAGCAAGATCATGGCCGCAGGCTTCTCGTGCGGTGGCGTCGAAGCCATCGACAACATCTGGGACAGCCGCGTCGACACCATCGGAATCATCAGCTCAGGTCTGCTGACAAATTACACTGCCGCCAGTAACTGGAGGAAGCCAGTGCTGTTCGTATTGGGTGGCTCAGGCGACATCGCGTACGGGAACGTAAGTTCTCCTTACCTGCTCCTTTCTGTTGTGTGCAAGATGGACTAACAAGGGTTTTAGGGTGAGCGTGACTACAAGAACATGCCTGCTGGTGTTCCGACCTGGAAAGGCAACATTCCCGTCGGCCACGGCGGTACACTCGGCGATGCTAATGGCGGCCGTTTTGGCAAGGCGATCCTTAACTGGATGCTGTGGACTATGAAGGGAAACACACAGGCGGCGTCGTACTTTACCAGTGGTTATCAGGCTGATGGATATCAAGTCGAGTCCAAGAGCTTGAACTCGTTGAAGCCGTTCTGAGTGTTTGGGTCGCTTGGGGTCGAACGCGAAGACGTGGTCGTATAGGATGTTATCAAAGAGACCGTATAGGACGTCAATCGGCCTGACTCGAACTTATCAGATTTTACCAAGAACTCAATGGCATCACCGTGTACTTTCCATGATAGAGCTTTTCGACGTTGCCAGCGCTCAACGGCACCGAATTCCTATCCCTACACCCCACTAACCTCTCCGCGTTAGAGCTCCCGTCAGCATTCACCCACCCCACCATGGATACCCCAACAACATCATCGACTCATCCCAGTACCGTAAGACAACACACCAAACCACACCCCATCTCAATACCACCTCCTCACCCAAAATGTCCACCCCCCTCGCCACAGTAGCCATCATCTCAATCGGGCAAATGGGCCTCGGCATCGCCGCACTCCTCACCTCGCACAACTACCGCATAACAACCAACATCAGCGGCCGCAGCGCCGCCACAAAAGCGCGCGCAGAATCCGCTGGCATACACCTCTACGCCACGGACGAAGAGCTCGTCGCAGATGCGGATTACATACTGAGTATCGTGCCGCCACGTGACGCTGTGGCGACGGCGAAACGCGTGGTATCTGCGCTGCAATCAGACAGATGTGAGCATGAGAGGGGGGAGAAGGGGAAGGGCGCGGTGTGGTATTTGGATTTGAATGCTATTAGTCCAGATAGGGCAAGGGGGATAGCAGGAATGTTCGAGCAGAATGAGAAGGGTGTTGTGTTTGTAGACGGGGGCATCATCGGTGGCCCACCAGCGCCGCCGCCGTCACAGACAGAACAGAGTGCTTGGACAAGACCCGGTATCCCCCTATCGGGACCTCATTCCCTGGACTCTGCACCCGTTTCCGGTGCTCATCTAGCTGAAGTACTCAACACGCGGTATCTCGGTGGGGAAGTCGGGACAGCGTCCGGGCTGAAATGCTGTTTCGCAGCGCTGTCAAAGGGGTTTACGGCGTTGGCGCTGCAATCTTTCTCGTCAGCGGAGTCGCTGGGCGTGCTGGATCCGTTGCGTGAGTATCTTGATGTGTACAACCCTGGTGCCAGGCAAAAGGCCGAAAAGAGTGTGGTGGGGTGTACGGGGAAGGCTTATCGGTGGGTGGAGGAGATGATGCAAATCGGTGAGTGTTTTCGAACGGAAGGTGGGACGGCGGGTGAGGCGAGTGTATTCAGGGAGATTGCGGGTGTATTTAATGGGTTGGCTGATGTTGTAGAGAGGAATGGGAAGGAGGAGATGGGGAGTGTGGAAGGCGTTGTTGGAGCGTTGTTGAAGGATCAGAGGCATAAGAAGAGTTAGTGGAAGCGTAAGTCTGCTGTTTTGGTGGTATGCACATGCAGCTTTTTTGCATGGGCGCGCGTTGTCACATTAGGCCTGGTCATTAGACGTGTTCAGATTAGAACTCCATACCCCCGCGCTATGCTACCTAACAGAATCATGGTCATCAATTTAACATAAATCATGCCCTGCGAGCATTACGGCCATCACCGTACGCCAACGTGCGTCCCATGTCCATTACCGTACTCGATCCTGCCGCACTACTACCGCTGACGCCCCTCTTGTGCCCGGCCTCCATACTGCTTCTGCCCTCAACCAGCGCCCTTCGTCCATCGACGCTCTGTCCAACGAGCCTACCACTGAATTGATGCCAGCAATTGGGCGCTTGGAGGATGTACTTTTCCATCGCAATCCTAAATCTGTTCCTGTAGTCACGCGGCGACGTGATTGTAGGCTTGTTCTTGCCGCGGTCCTTGATCCAACTCTCTAGCTTCTTGTCCCAGGTGTAGGTGCGAATGCAGTCGATAATGCCTACGATGATCTCGCGTTGTGTGTCGTCGAAGCCTGCCATGAGAGAGTAGTCCATAACGTTGTTCTGTGATAGGAAAAGCGTATCGTTGAACACACTTGCTTTGAGCAACTTCTTGGTGTGCTCACGGACGAAGATGGGTGTCTCAGAGTAGATGATGTCAACAAGATTCTCGTCGAGAAGAACTTCATCTCGTTCGCCAGTGGCTTGGATCTTGCGATTGCGCATACTGCCCTTGAGATCGTAGCGGCGATTCGGTTCGCGATCGTAGAATAGGTTCTCCATAACAAGCATGTACCAGTCAAAGTCACGACCGGTGGGTGTCTTGATCTGGACTTGGAAAAGGCCAAACATCTTAGCGATGACGCTGGGTAGCGACTTGAAGAGATTCTGGTGCGTAAAGGCAAAGTAGTTGGGGCCGAACTTGAAGAATGCTTGAACTTCGACTGGAGAGAGTGACTTCAGGACAAATCGGTCGTCGAGGGTCTTCAAAAAGATTGACTTGGACTTCCCGCCCTTGGAATCCCATTTCGAACAGCGGGAGAGGGACTCCACGAAACGTTCTGCCACACCACATTTGCGGCGGAGTGCGTCGAAAGATTGGGCGTAGAAAATCTTGCAGTGCGCCTTTACCCCACGATTGGTGAAACTGTAGCGGATGTTGTGGTTTTCTTCATGCAGCAGATTTCGTTCGACTGACTCTTCAAACGTTTCCATAACGCCATCACTTGAAGTAAAATCGCGGAAGGTTTGTCGTTTGGCAACATAATCTGGACACGACAGCGCCAATGCAATAATGGAACTGGGTTCGTCTTCCCGGATGATGATATCCGAGTTCTCCCAGACGTGCTCGATCTGTGAGAATGGATACTCAAGCGGCGTCCATCCACTTGCTGATCGTTCGGACCAGAAACTGGTAAGAATCTTGAGTAGTGTGTTCTTCTCGTGTTTGGGGAGCTCAAGAGAGTTTTCCAGCTGCGAGTCACTTAGACTCAGAAGTTGAGAGCCCGCGAGGCTCTCCGGTAGAGGAATGTCTTCTGGCGTCGTCTCCGTATCACTGATGTCATTCTCGGGATCTGATGGGAAGTGGCTTGGCGACTTGGGTGACTCATCGCTGCTGGGAAGTTGGGCCATTTCATCATGAGGGTGTCGCCTCTCCACCGGCGATTGTGACGCTGTTGTATCACCTGTGTGCTCTGTGAAAGTGCTGTCGCCAAGTGTACTGTTGTCTAGACTCGCCCGGGGAGGAGTTGGAGTACGCAGATCTTCATCAGAATCTTCATTCTCTTGTACAGCGTCATGAACGTTTTTGTACACCTCAACAACCGGCTTAGAGGAGGCGAGTGGGAACGCGCGCACTTGCCTAGCTCTATCATTACGTCTCTCGCGCATACGCTGGTTCTGAAATTCTCGTGACAGCTGTTCGAAATGCTGCGCAATCTTCGATACCTTGTTTTGGCTCTTGTAAGGTATCGACCGAGGTATGCGAGATGAAGACTTGGATTGCTTTGGGGTAGACAGCCCTAGCCCAAGTCGTTCTGTCATACGCTCAAAAGCCTTTGTAGAGTCGTTGGAGTTTGGCTTCGGACTAGTGGGCCCGTTGTTGGAGACCGATGAGCCTGGGAAAGGGCCGATATGTTTAGCAATATTTCCAGGCTGAGATTGTGTTCTCACAAGTGCTGTTGGCCGGGCCGGCGTCTCACGTCGACCGGGCTCGACCAGCCGCGGAATTTTGCTTTCAGCTGTGATGTTCGAAGCTGACGGCAATGGTGATGGGCTACTCGGCATGTTCTCAATCGCTTCAGCAAGCGACTTATCAATCGGATTTACCCTCGGAAGACTGGTAGGTGTAGGCGACCCTTCGTCGTACTTGTTAGGATCAGAAGCAACAGTTGGTGTCTTGGTGAGTTCTTCGTTGCCGACTGCAGGTGTCTCAGGATAGTTGGAGGGCACTGCAAGATCCAAATGACGGACGTCTTCTCGCTCAAGTGCCTCCCGCGGGGTCTGGATTGGCAAATCTGAACTAGGCTTGGTCAGAGGGGGCGTGGTGGGTCCAGACGTCTGTTCTCCCCCGTCCACAGGCTGATCGCTAGTCGAACTCTCTTCTTTGACAACGGAGCTCAACATGTCGCGGGCCATTTCTGGTGACAGATTAGATGGCCTCGGCGATAACGCAATCGACTCATCCTTCTCATCGATGTACGAATCGTCCGCACCTGATTCCCCGCCCTCGTCCACGGATGCCAAAGAGCTCGTAGACTCATCCCGCTCCAAGAATCTCTTCAATTGCATGTTCGCATACCTCCTGATATCTCGCTCGGACGGGAAGAACTGCTGTTCAAACTCCAGAAAAGTCACATCCCAGGCGATTGCCTTTTCCTGAATGGCGCGAATGGCGCGATTCATGGGGATGATCTCGTAGTATTTGGAGTTCATGTACTTGTCTTGGAGTTTGGATTTCAGCCACTCGTGTTCCTCGTTCGCGCGTTTTAGAAGTATCTCAACTTCCTTGCGGCAAACATCCACCTTCTCTGGAATGACATCTTCGACATGTATCCCCTGGATACGAGCGCGAAGCGAGTCCATGAAGCAGTCCAACTTCTCCTCGATCATCAGATATTGGCTATTCTTCAACCTTAGGTCGCTATCCACTTTCCAGGTCACGTTCGGCTTGGGAGCGATGACCTCGTACATCGGTACGGGGTCATACTGGATACGCAGAGCAACATTGCTGTAGCCGAAGTAGCGGACGTGGTCCTTGTGAATGTCGTGGGGACATATACCCGCTCGTGGATGCAGTTTGGTACTCCAGAAAGTCAACTCGAGGTATTTGGCAAAAGAGTATCTCCAACTCCACTCCGACATAGGAAAAGCTTGGGTTTCCTGGCCACATATTCTGCAACAGCTCCACATGAGAATGGTTTGATACATGCCTTTCAGCTTCGGTGGGTGCTTCTGGACAATGACCGTCATTTGACCTTCTCCATGCACATATTGCCGAGAATGATCGAGCATTCTCCGGTCGCAATTGCCCACTTCACAGGCGACACTGGCTGAAGTGCACAGGTCTTCCACGTATTGGCCTAATGTGCAGTCTGGCGTGAAGCCGTCATCATAATCATGTTCTTGGTAAAAGCCAAGCGCAATGATTTCTGGGCCAATGCAGGGAGTCGAGGTTACAGTATTGACAACACTGTAGAGTACGGCGATCTTCTGGTGGTTGAACGGGTCGTAAAGATCCGTGTTACCCGAGAGATACTGCTCCCATTGTCGCTTTTGTGTCAGGTACTGATTCAATGCCTTGTCGTATTCTGAGGCATGCACTGCAGATAGGAATTCCCGAACTTGCTTTGAAGCCTTCTCCACCACGGTGTGGACCATCTCGGGCTGTACGAGTTCGAACTTCTGGCCAATTTCACCGGGCTTTTCGTCACTTTCATCAGCAGTGTACTGGTTCTTGAGCTTCTTCAGATGGCCAAGCTTTGCTTCGTATTGGCGGGCCTGTTCGAGCAGATAAGGTTGCATGAACTTGACGAATGGCGAAGAAGAGAGGATCTTTGTTCGGTGGTTTTCAACCATATCGCTATAGTAGGAGGGTGCAGCATCGCTAGATCGCAGGTCGTTTCCATCATGCAGCGCGTTAGTAGGATGGGAAGCGGTATCGTCCCCACCGCTTTGAGTATGTGAGCCGTCTTGGTCTTGGCGGTCCAAGGCGAGAGTACCAGTAATAGAAGCTGTTGGTGTATCTATGAATTCGTCGCGCATCAGGCAAGTCTCGAGCCGAAGGTTGTACACAACATATGTCATGAACTCAGTAACGCGTTTCAACCTGACCAGGTTATGACTCTCGGCACCTCGTAGAACAATTGTGCAGCCGAGTTCTTTCTGACACCCAGACAAAAATATGTAGGTTTTCCTCGCATTCTTGTGCACATAGGTCTTGACATCAAACCTGCCGCAAGACCCAAGATGGGTTGGGTCTATGGCCAACTTGTCGACGGATGAGATCATTTTCGAATTTGTGCATCGCGCGACGGCGTTCAGTACTGTAGGCTTGACGTTGTAGACTACGGCGATTCCCTCTTTCTCCAGGAATTCGAGTGCCAAGCCAGACACATTACGTTGTACGAGCAGGACGTGAGGTTGGAGAGCTGTGATACGACTTACGAGGTTACGAAGGTATTCCCGCTCCTGGGCAATGACGGGCTCGAGGCTCATGAAGTGTGTTTGGTGTCGCGCATACTCAATAGCGAAAGTGATGATGGCGATTCTTGGGTTGGGTATATTGCGCGGCATACTCCGCAGGGCAACGTTCTTGGTAAAGACCACTCCCGATACGTATGCGGTGTCCTTTGGCTTACCACCCGGGATCTTTTTCAACTTGATGTAGTTCCTCACGTCGATGTCATCTCCTCTATCCACATCAGGATTGACGTCATCTGTACACTGTCGTAAGATCGGGATCAAGGCCTTTTCCCAACTGGACGCGTGCGGTACTCCAGCGTCATTCAACATCTGTATCAGGAGCTTTCGTGCATGATCCAGACTGGCCTTGTTGAGTTCGACCTTGGGTGTCATACCCTGCATTGATGCGCTACGGGTGATTCTCCCTCCGGGTGGTGTTGGTGAAGGGGACGGCTGGAGTTGTGGTGTTCCCGGTCCGCTACCGCCGTAGCCGGTATAAGGTCTTAACAGGGTGTTGCTTTTCGATCGCCTTGGGGAGGCGCGGTGAGTTATGCTGCTTACGCTCAGATTCCTTCGTCGAGACGGTCGATTTCCGTTGCGGCTTGTGATGCTAATGTTATCTGCATCTCGAGCATGACCCGCGCCTATGACACTTCTATCACCAGCCCTTGACTTTCCTTTTCTCATGGCTGCCAATAGACCACCTAAACCACCCCTTTCATGGTCCAAATTCGCGCCAGCCGCAGGATCCTCTCTCAGAGTCGCGAAGATGCTGGCATGATCTTCTTCGCTTGAGCCCTCGTCCGACATGAAGGGAGCAAGATCTGGGTCGATTATGTTATCGTGGTGGAAGGCCGACAGGCTTGGTTGACTGCGTGAGTTATCGTGAAATTGATGGAAGGGCGCGCGATCGTCATGCTTGACATTACGCATGTGTTGGTGTTTGGAAGGGTGTCGTTTGTGGCTCGACGAACGGGGTCTCCCGCCCAGAGACCGCAGAGATCGCGACGAGCTCGGACGGGTCAAAGTTTGAGGACCAAGCTCTATGACATGTGACCGGCGTTTCTTTTCACTGCCCACCTTCCGAGACATGGGGATGCTGATGGTCGGTGTTCCGATCTTTGTATGATCACTCTCAACATGATCAGCCTCGTCGTCGTCCGAGTACTGAGTCCTGTCCCCGTTGTCGTAAAGGGAACCTTGGTCGCCATCATCAGTGTAGTCGGACGAGTCATCGTCGTGGCCATATATGATACCCTCACACGGTTTGCACACCTTCAGGTTGCTTTGCTGTCCAAATATCTTACCTGACACGATAGACGTGCACTTGGAATCGAAGATTTGCCCACATGTACGGCAGTGATGCTTACGTCTGAAAGTAGTGAAAGCATCACCGCAGCTGAAACAAGCTTTAGCATTCTCGTCTCGCATCCAAAACTCGCGGTCTAGGATCTTTCTTCGCATTTGAGTAAAGGTACTTCTTGACATGTTGTGTACCGCAGGCGCGGCCTGGGCTTGTCGCTGAATCTCTTCGATAGGCGCAACAGCAGGAGTGCGTATCGTGGAAGTTGTGATGATAGAGCTCAACCCGTCAGAAGAAGAGGCCCTGGAAGGCCGGTAGCCTGGGAGGTGTGAAGGACCGACATGGAGCATGGGGGGACGCTGCGGCTCCGGTGCGTGTATGGTAGTTTGGGAGCTAGCGGTGTTGTTGCGACCGAGTTGAATCCTCTCTGGGGACTTCTCAGCCTGTTCCCTTGGCTTGTTAGGCGCAGAGCGGGTGGGTTGATATTGGCTGTCGGCGCGGGAGCTGACCCTACTCAGACTTTCGCGCGGGGTGTCTGACCCGGCCTTGAAAGTCGCGCTATCCCCCGCTTGACCCTCGCCTTTCACGAGCACCATATCATCGTCATCGGTATCGTCACTTTCCTGACCTGCCAGGTCAAAGTCGCCCTTCTGTCTCCTAGCAGCGCTGTCCCGGTTTGGAGCGAATCGCGGAGAATCTAGCCTTTGGGCTCCTAACGCAGGATCTCTCGGCGTGTTGCTTCTTGGTAAGTCGACGGTGGAGGTGCTTTGGCTCCTAGAGTGGGGGCCCATAGGGCTCAGGATCGATGATTCGTCGTGTTTTGCTGTATGCCCTGTGTCGACGCTCGGGGTCATTGAGTTCCGGGACCGCGCAGTACCGAGCGAAGCCTTGGACGCATTCATGGACGTCTTACTGGAGAGCGTAGTACTAGATATGTTGGAGTCGCGGGAGGGAGGCAGGGCGTCGGGGAAGTTGGCTGTTGCTGGAGATTGCATGCGCGACGACGGCCTAGAGGTGACAACGGGTGAAGACACGGACGTCCCCCCTGGGCTTCGAGTGACAGCCGCTGACTTGGAGGCCGGTGAAGTCCCGCTCCTGCCATCTTGTGATTGTTCTCTGACGCCTCCTACAGAAGCTCTCAGGCGACTGTACAGCCCACTGAAGCCACCCTGTACCAAGTCTATGCCCTTAGGCTCACCGACTGAGCTTGGGGCCGGTGGCACGGTGAAGTCATCGAAAGTAGTGAGCGTGTCGGAGCGTGATGCCTGGGCATGCATTTGGTAGAGCGAAGGCGGCTGCAGCGAGCCCCGCCGCGAGTCTCTGGACATGGCTGCCGTCAGAGGAATTGCAGTCTGCGGGTGCAGTAGGAAGTATCGAGTGTGTCCAGACGGATCGGCGTCCGACAGTGGCCTGTGGTGAACAGCATCAGGCTTCAGGTGGGATCATGCCTAGGTAGTCTGGCGGACAGCGAGGTGGAGTCGAGGATGGCGGATGATTCGTTACACGTGTGTTGCTTCGGATTCATGGGAATGAGGAAGAAGATTTCAGGCGCCGACAGTAGTCAGCTACGACGGCACTGGCACCTGGAGCATCACGAGGTGCATACAGCTAGCTAGGCATGCAGGAAACGCGGCGGGCCATGACGCGCAGCCGCCAAGGGATTCCGCTCGCTGTTCCGCCCCCACGTCCCTCGGCATGAATTCATGCCCTCCAGCCACGAGATGCAGCCGCCGTGAATGGTGGTCCAAGATCAAACGCGCCTGGCTGGACGAGTGAAGCATCAGACGCTATTCTCAGTTAGACAGGACTCTATTATGTTCTCTCCACGAGTCCCCACACGGCTTGTTGTTCCTCCTCCCCGCACATCTCGCCGGGACCAGAACGCGTCGCGTCTCCCACTGGCGCCGCGACATCCCATTGCATGGCCCTTCGCCTCAGCGCCTGGCTTGAAGAAACGTTCGAGTCCCAGCTGCTGCTAGGCAACCAGTGGCTCCAGGACACCTTTGAGAAGAAGCGGTCTGGCGTTAAAGCCCAATTGCACAGGCAGTGGGACGTGTACCACGATAACGGATCGTCTCTGGATATCATCAACTACGTCCACTCTGACCGCAACAGCGCACTGCTGGTACTCAAGGCAGGTGATAATGCGCCCATCGCTGCTGCTACGTCTAACATCACTTATACCAGGTCGCGCCTCTTACACTGACCGACGGCCAAGTCCAGGTCCTCTCCCAATTCACGCCTGACTGCGCTCGGAACTTCCTGCAGGCATTCCCCGCGCTATCGCACCTGTCCATCGGCACCACAGTAGCCGTCCGCACTTTCACTATCCGCCTCACCCCGTACGGCCCGCCGAGCGAAAGACTGCGCTTGATACTAGATCGGATCGATTGGCTGGGCGATAACCGCGAACGAGTACAGAATCTGACGCGAGAGATTCTGAGGCCACTGCATGCTTGCGAGCAGATTGGTGTCTTGCTAGAGCAGCTGCGCCATATCCGCGAGCGAGAGGACCGCCGATGCTTGGCATCTGGTGCTGAGGAAACGGACGTAGAAGCAGTCGACGACGCTACGGCGGATAACATGGGTTCAGATGGGAATATGCCGCATGGCAACGAGCTACAATCACAGATAATGGGCACACAACTGCCGTTTGGAACACAACTGCCTCTCCCATCCCGTCCTCATGCAGGCAACGAGGAACCACAGGTCATAGGAGTGAACCGCCTGGAGCCAGTCCTAGGCGGTAACACCCAACGAAAAGAGATACGGTCAGGTGCTGCTAGCACAGACTACGAGAAACGTCAAGAAATGCTGCTGGATCTTCTCGGCAAAGCTTCCAATTCCAACGCCCGCAAACCTGAGGCGACCTCGGCGAACAGTTTCGTGCAGTCAGCTTTCGGTAAGCAAAGTGACAATACGTCAACTGTAGATGAATCTCTCGAAGCACCGTCAGATGCATTGCAGCAACAGTCAAGAAGGTCCGAACCAGAAGCCGGGAACGAAGATCCCTCGCCATCTGTGTCCAATCATGGGAGGAAGAGAGTCAAGAGGGTCCGCGAGATATCGCCCGAACCTGCAAAAGCTACCGAAGACGTTCGAACCGAGGAGCAAACCATTGAACAAAGTCTGATTGAGGATGACAATGAGACAATGCCTCCGTGCTCTTGGATGGCAGACTTGATCTTCAATAGCGAGACGCTAAAGGTACCTAGAATCCAGCGGAACTGTCTGGACAGGGAAACCAGTTGGCTAAAACCTCAACCCGGGGTTCAGCCTTTCCAGGCTGGAAACATGCCGCAATCAATACTCATGGCTTGTCATCGGATGGCTGACGAGAGAGCTGGCGCTGAAACTGACGATGAATCGGACCCAGATCCGTCTGCAGAGACTGTCGATCCATCGCCCGAGTCTCTGCCCCAAAAGACGCAAGATGATGAACCTGCCTTTACCAAAAATGACAGATCTGCGAGGACAAAAGATGATGAGCCCGTGACTACTCAAGACGACAGTGATGCCGGTAGGGAGAGGTCCTGGAGCACGTCCCCGGAGCCTCCACCACGTCCAGCAAGAGTCCATCAAGAACTTCCTCCTGACTCAAGCATCGAGAAGCCCGCATCTCATTCAGAACAGGATTCTGCGTCACAGCCAATGTCCGCCAGCAAGCAGTCACAAAATCATTCTGTCGTCGAGATTTCAGATGACGACGAGCCAACTGGTCCATCATCCTCGCCACCCGTTCCAGCTGCACCCGCAGATTCTGACGATGAAATGAACATGGAAGAATCCGTTCCACAAGCCTTGGGCGAAGATCTTACACGGCACAGAAGAGAGACATCGGCAATCGGGAATGCTCCAAAGTCTGATCCCTTGCGGTCGCCTGTAGTTGTTCAAGTGAAAGAAACTCCATATGGAAAAGGCAAGAATGCCCCAGGCGCCCAAAGCTCAAGCGGCGAGCCAAAACAGCAATCATCTACATCGATAGTCCATAGTACATACGACACGCCTAGTCTCTCTGATCTTGCCGAGCTTGGGGTCATGCAAAGTCCAGGCGACAAGCACAAGGGAGTTGAAGTGCCTAGCAGTGTACCCCAAGGCC